ACATGAAGCATAGGAAAATTTTTTATATCGATGCTACAACCATATAGGCTAAGAACACTTTTTGGGGTGAAGCCTATGCTTACCCTCGTTATACACTACGTCCGCCCCTGGTCCTATGGTTAAGTATTTATATGAAATGATTTAAAAAGGCGATTCTTGTTAATGATATCAAATCTTACTATGTTAGTCAAACCCCTATTGAATATATGAATATATGATTGAATATATGGAGTATCAAATCGTTAGATGGACTGTTTAGGATGTTTTCTGTTGGACTGAAATTTGTTGGTCTAGTCTGGTCTGGTCTGGTCTGGTCTGTTTAAGTCTGGTCTGGTCTGAACTGGTCTGGTCTGGTCTGGTAAACGTCTGGTCTCTGTGTATTTTATAACTATCCAAGTCTGGTCTGGTCTGTTTAAGTCTGGTCTGGTCTGGTCTGGTCTGGGACTGAAAACAGTCCAAAAGAAATCATCCTTAGACCAGTAAAATCTTACTCGTTTTATAACTCACATACTTTTGTTAACAAGTATTAATACTATAATAGTTATATCACCCCCAGGGGCGGACCCAGGAAGTTTGTTTTGGGAGGGCGGTTACTTAAACAAAATATTTTTTGGGAGGGCGAAAATTATTTTTTATTATATATATACACTAAAAAATTTTGTTGTTGAGGGGGAGGGGGACCGCCCCCCTGAGTCTGTACTACGGTCCGCCCCGGATCACCCCACCAAATCATTTTTTGATCATCTCGGTAGTCCAAATATTCTTAACTTATTTAAACATGATCCAACAATTCACAACTTATGATACACAAATCCTACACCTATGTATGCTTCGATATTATCTATAGTGTTGTGCATCACGTTTTACCATGCAGATCCATAGGCATCTGACTTTTACAACTAACTGCTCCTTTAATTTGCTCATGAGAATTTGAAACCATCATTTGGTCTCGACCAAATGTTTGACCTGCATGTTGTCCTCAACATAAAGTCAAACTATGACTTTTCAGTGATCTTCAACCGTTTACAACTATAAGTGTTTAACTTCTATCTATGAGCGCTCTTAGAGAGCCTCCCCTCGACCTCTAGGGACGGAGCCAGAATGTAATGTCAGTGGTGTCAAAATAATATACCAACGAGAATTACCCTAAGGAGCGCAGATCATATCAGGCCGGCCTGACGAGAACCTCCGTCAAGCCGAGGATATTTGGGGCCCTATCCGATGGAATTTTTTGATAAGATATTTTAGACATGTTCTTCATTGAGTCCAGTTTATGTCCAACAAATATCAGCTAAAATTTCAACCGGGAAAATAGTTAAATAAATTCTTTAAAAAAACTACGCTTTATATATATAAACAACACAGTTTTTGTAAAGAATTTAGTTACTGCCTTCCTGATTGAACTTTAAGCTGCAATTTGGTTGACAAAAAACAGACTTAATGAAGAACATGCTCAAAAAAATTCCACTGGAAAGAGCCCCAAATGGCCTCGGTCGGTCTGACAGGATTGCTACTCTTACCCTAAGTGAGAGTAAAAATAATGTGAATTTTAAATTAGGAGTATTATATTATTGTTTAGGTTTCTTATTAAATATCATCAACATTATTCTTTCAATAAAAGTGGTGTCATTTTAACACTTTCAATTTATGTATACATATATATACAATAAATATATAATTTGAGTGGTGTCATTTGACACCATAACCCAGCACTTGGCTCCGTCCCTGTCAACCTCAATACTTTAAGAGCACTTCTGAGGGTTAATTTAATTAGAAGATTTGCTTGCAATTTTACAGCTAATAGCTTACCATTAATTGAAGTATAATTTTTCCTTGTGTTTGAGAAATCTAATTGACCAAAATGAGCTACTAGCCTCAAGAAACAAAATTATTACTCCCTCCGTCCCTAATAACTTTGCCAAGTTTGACCGGCACGGAGAATAATAAAGTAAAAATTGTGTGGTTGAAGTTTGTGCAGAGGAGAGAGAATGAACTGGAACCACAAATTCTTTACTTGAAAGGAAAAGTGACAAAGTTAATGGGACATCTAAAAAAGGAAAGTTGACAAAATTATAAGGGACGAAGGGAGTACATACGAAGTATATTACGGAGTATTAAGAATAATAAATGAAGAGGGTGAAGTTATAGTTAATCATTGAAGTACATTTTCCTTTGTTTTTTTTTGCAAATGCTTATGTGGCAAATTTAGCCATAAGGGCATTTAACTAACCGTTGGAGATGCTCTAAGAGCATCTTCATTCATACTATGTAAATAAATGATTTATCTATTACACATCATAGTTACATCATATTTATTCAATAAATTTTAAATAATCTCAAAGTTTAAAACTTTTCATCAACCATTAATGATACTCAAATAATTAGTTCTTTTAGAGAATGCATTGAATGTAAGTTAACTACAATCTAAAATAATCCGGGATTTTGAATCTTGATAGTGGATTTTCTTTTTCAATAATCTCGCTACCTAGTCTCTCACTCACAATGATAATCTTAAAAATAATCTTACACATCATCCAATTATATATGTATGACTTCTGCAGTACCACTTCATCAAGATATAATTAATAGAGTAGAGTAATATTTGACTCGATGATATGTATAATAAAAGATAATGAAGAACGAGTCTTATTGAGTATATTATATTAATTAATATATGAACATTAGCTCTGATTAGCTAGATATAAAAAATTGTGAAGAATAGGAAAGATATTACAGTATAAAAAGCAGAACATAAAAAAATGCTGCGAATTCTAATGAAAAATTTTCTAAGATGATTTGGCAGAATTTAACCGTTGGGTTTAAGCAAATGGAAAAAGTAATCTGTTAAATCCGGGTTCCATCCTAAAGGTCAACCCGATAAGAAGAGTAATTCAAATCTTAATATAGCACTTAATTCCTTCACAAGTTTTTGATGTGGGAATACAACACCCCTACTCACGACCAGACACTTCGTCTGGATAGTGCCGTCGTTCATTTTTTCATCGATTCGTTATTGTCACTTTTTTATAATCGTGTCATTATTTTTCATAAGACTGATTCGGCTCTGGTAGCATCTTAAGACTCCGGGTTTCATCCAAAAAGATCGTCCTGATAGGAGGAGTAATTCAGATCAATAGCACTTAATTCTTTCACAAGTTTCCGCTGTGAGAATTCAACATAATCATTGCGTATTTATATGGAAAATCTGAATTACGGAGTATTTTTATTGAACGTTTTGGTCACGATCTAAGCTATGGACCTATGGTCATCCCAATTTGATCATTTTTAATATGACGTTCATTAACCCTTGATTTTTTCCATTTGATCAAGTCCTTGAACGTAAGGATATTTTTACTTGGACTGAAATTTATAACTATAGAAGGTTGGTCTGGTCTGAACTAGTCTAGTCTGTTTAATTCTGATTTGGTCTGGTCTGGGATTGAAAACAGTCCAAGTAAAATATCCCAACATACGGTACAATTAAATAATAGCTTTTATAAATAGATTATAACACATAAGTGATATGAAAAAGATAGACACGTAAAAACGAATTAATACAATTTTTCTCTTTTATCATGGTATCCTAAATCTTAATTACTACAAAAAAATATGAACCAGTAAATATTGAAGTTGAGGTTAATATTATGCAGAAGATCACTGCAATAAAATGATATAGGCAGTGGTGGTAAGGGAGGATTTGGTTGAGTAATGAGGGGGTTATGGTAGATACAAGGTGCGAAAATAGAGTTTGGGGGAGAGAAGGTTCGAAAGTTGGGATAATTTGGGGAAGATGAAGTGGTTTGGGGATTATTCGTGTACCCTACCCGGTACCCCCATCATACCCGACCGGGTATGCTTCCCCAACTGTGATTTCGAAAGCCAATCTGACCGAGTATAACAAGTACTCGTTCGGATTTTTGAGGCAGTAGCCTTTGGAACTCTTTTTCCGTTTATACCCAACCGAGTAAAGTGTGATACCCGACCGAGTATGGTCCGGATTTTTATTTCATACATAGGTTATCGTGTACCCGTTTGGGTACCCTGTCATACCCTCTTATTTGGAGCTCAAGTTCGACTCATTTAGGTAATAATGGTTTTTGGGTTCAAGGCCGAAGCTCGAAAAGCTATACAATTGAGGTGTGTTCGGCTCAGTAGATGTTTGGTGCTAAATTTGAGCACTTAGCTTGATAATTAATGAAAAGATAAATATGCGCGAATGCAAAAGTTTAATTTATGCTTGATACGTAAGAGGCCGGTTCTCAAATTATTTGACAAATACTCGATTCTTTAACAAAAATAATATTGAATAACGGAATCAAGTACAATGAATTTAAAGGAAAAAACGAGTTCAATAATGGGTTGTCAAGGGTTGATGCAACTATCTTTCACGGCTCCGTACTGTGTTAACTTTCAAATATCTCGCAATAAAATGACTCGTAAAAGGGTTATGTCAAGGATTTGCCCTTGATTAGCATATCTTTGCCAAACCCGAAAAATATCTGCAAGAGTGATTTTACCATTGAACCACGAAATTGTGACCGTGTTTATAATATGACAATTAGCTAGAAGACAAATTGGAAATTAGAAACAATGTAGGGATGATTTAGTTCTAATCTAAATTATAGTTTTCTTTGAAAAAATTGAAAGATTGTTTAGAATTGTCCTATTGAGTTGTTGAAAACTACTAGACTTGTAATCCATATATGTATGTGCATCACCTAAAGCCGATATTGTGCTTATCAATTTGCAGTTAAAAAATTAACTTTTGCAGACCAGACATAACCGATTAGTGCCAAACCTGGTCCGACCCGTCCCTCTATGCGATCGCGCCCTTTAGCTTTAAGAAAACTTCTAGATCCGCTATTGAATACATTATATATATATATATATATATATATATATATATATATATATATATATATATAGTTTGGATCATATACAAACCCAACTTAATTTACAAAATACAAAATAATCCTAGCCCTCCATCTAAGCATGATTTCCATGCGGCTGTTTTAATTCGAAGCCTAAGAACGTAAGTGACTTGAGGGTGTATTGGACATTTCATTGATCTCTAACCATGGAAAGAGAATCACGTACAATTTACCAACGTGCTTTCTGTTAATATCTCTATTTCCATACCTGCGATCAAGAACTTGTCGTGCGAGACTCATCATTGCACTTCCGTTTTGCTTCTCTCCAGTCGTTCAAAGCCATGGAATCTGAATCAGGTATGTGTATGAACTTTGTTTGAATACAAAAAAGCTTTCCCGGAAAAAAATCTCCCTACAACATCGTTTCAATACAAAAAAAACGTGTATTCGTTTACCTCTGTTTCAATACAAAACAATCTTCCTAAGAGTTGTAGATTCTTGTCAATGATTGTGCGGCAGTACAGTTTTTTAAAATTTGATTGAAGCCTACAAATAACGATTGCTATTGTCACCTTGCTTATCTGCCAAATTCTTGTTTGTTGTTTATGTTCTTCGTTTTGTATGCACAAGGATTCACTGGAGTACATTCACATCCCTAGCTTTTGAACATAGTTTAATTTTAGTTCATATTTTTCTGTTGGTCAAACTTCGTATGTATCATGCAGACACATTATTCATGGTGCAGCTTGAATACAAAGAAGTTTATTGTTATCTGTTTTTAATACAAAAAAATGTTTAAACATTTTATGATGGAATCGGAATCAGGTATGCTTCTATGAACTTTGTTTGAAAACAAAAAAATCTCCCCAATACATTGGTTAAATACAAAACAATCTGCGTTCAAATCTCCCCAATAATAAATTTTGTTCATGAATATTGTTTATGTTGTATAAGTGTGCATTCCGGTCAAATCTTTACTGCATTGTAAAAATAATTTATATGCATATTTAAACACATTCATGTGCACCCTGTAGTTGTACATTAGTCACTACTAATTGTATTACATTTAATTTTTTTCTTCATACTTTGGTACTTTCTCATAATTATTTTTATCAGTAAACACACATAATGGATTTTTTTGTAACACTAAATGCATATATTCACACATCTCACCATTTATTGGCTACAAAAATTCATGAGTTTTATTGACCATGTAATTATAACTTAATTTGCACACGTACATATTTTGAAGTGCACCTTAGGTTTACATCTGTTGCATTACTAATTATTCTGAATTGTATGTGCTATTTTGTTTTTGTCCCGGTAGGTGAACCACCAAAATCAGTGGGGCATATGTCGGGGAACATATGCCGAGTTTTATTAAAGAGAAAAAATAAAGTTACATAAAGAGGGGGACTATACCAAAACCTCTTCCAAAAGAATTACAAGAGTCTTCTAAAAGAAAGTAAATTGAAAATATCTAAAATAATAGCAGTCTTTATTGAGCCAGGTAATGAGTCCATATCGACCAAATAGTAAACTGGGTTGGCGATACACCAGCAAGCAGATGCGCAGGCCCGTTCCCTTCTCGCATTGTATGTCGGAATCCAATCCCTTTCCTAAAAGATAACTGTATTGTATGTGCTATAAAATGTGCATCTATCTTTGTATGCTATTTGTTATATTTTGTCGTGTTTTACTGCATTGTACACACAATTTATATGCATATTTAAACACATTGATGTGCACCATGTAGTTGTACATTAGCCACTTCTAATTTTATTACGTTTAATTTGTTTGTCCATACGTTGATGCTTTCTCATAATTGCTTTTATGAGTAAATACACATACAATATTTTTGTATGTGTAAACATACACAGTCCCACATCTGATCTCACCGATCATTGACTAAAAAACTTCATGACCTTTATTGACTATGTAATTATAACTTAATTTGCACACTTGCATATTTTGAAGTGCACCTTAGGTTTACATCTGTTGCATTACTAATTACTTTTTAATTCTATGTGCTACAAAATGTGTGTTTGCATATGTGATGTGTTATATTTTACACGAACAACAGAGTATCCCATGTAAAAATAATGACTATTTTGAACTGTTGCGTCTTATGCATTTCATTTAACTTCAAGCAGCAGTCAAATGAAAAAAAAATGTATGTAACCCTCAAACATTCATTAAAACAAACTGTATTCAATGTCAAGTTTGACACACCAAAATCAAGCATAAATCAATCTTTAATTTTAAAATGCAAATCTGTCATTCTAAAACTGTAATGTTATAACAAACTGATATCAACTGCAAATATCACTATGAATTCATTCATTGCTTGGTGCTCCCTTCTCCTGTTCTGCCACCTTCTGACATTCTCACCTTTGTTTTTCATATTTCTAGAATCCATGTACTTCACAAACATATTTATCTGCACAAATTTTGTTTAGCCTCATAAAATTTAACCGTCGTTTAAATAATATTTCGACAGTGCACTTTATAGTAAGTACTAGTTACATAATAGTATTTAGTACCACGATTTGAGCCATTTCCCTGTATTTATCAAAATTAGGTGCTCTTGCCAATGAGCTATCAATGATATCCACATGCTTCAGCTTAGTATTCACACAAAGTACATAGCAGTGATGCACTCGCATGATCGGGAAGACAAACTGCACCAAAATAACCATTTTCACAATTCACAATGTAATAACAGTGTGCTCTTTTACTGTTTCCAACCCAAACTCAATTTCTTCCACAAAGAGGGTGTAAGCATTGTCAGTACTCAATCCCAGGTGTGTCTGTGTGTCAAGCTACAACACGATTCCAAAATAGTTATACCCAACTGTAATCTTCATGCATTGCGTATAGATGAACACATGGAAATTCATCTAAAAAAATTTCATAGAAATTGCAATTCTAAAATAAAACAGCAATTAGTATTTTTCACAAGTGCGTACTTGCACAGTGCAAGACATTAGCAAATAAACAACTGGGAGACTCATTGCTTCAGACGCTCTCTTTATTACAATACTGGAATTCATCACTAAATGCACTTAATAGCATCTTTAAATGCACTTAAATCAACATTCATATGCATATTAACTCCATCACACAAAAATCAACATCCACATTTAAATCAACATTTATATGCATATACATATGCACCTTCATATGTACAAACCTCAATTACAGACACCACTCCTTGTAATGAATTGCACCGTACCTTTCTTGGTCTTCATTCTTAGCCTGCATTTATTTCAGCTGCACCTACCATTCTTAGTCTGCATTTTGACCAGCATACACAACATCCTCAATCACAATTCAATTGTACCTTTAGCTAATCTATTTTTTCACAAAAAATTTAACCTAATCAGGATCAACACCCTGATTTTTATGAGCTAATTATGTTAATCATAACTAATATCTATTTTAGTCGTTTAAATAAGTTTCTTCTATGAATAATGTGATATATTATGTAACCTGTTTTGTTTGTTGGCAGGTAACGTTGACCGGTAAGCTCATAATAATTTGAATTGAAGAAATAAATGATGTTTTAGATTTTATCATTTCATAAGTAAAAGGGAGATTTTTATTATTTGTTTCAGAAACATATTTTCTTTTAAAGATTTATATAGACCCGAATTGGATCAATTTATTAGCCCAATTAAGTATTTTTTTTAATAAAAGCCCTAGGATTAATGCTAAAGTACACTCATAAGCCTAATTATCGTAAAAAGAAACCTGCGCCTCCCTAACTTGATTGCGGCTCCTCTCTGGTTTTCTCTCCCAAAAACATTGCTTCACCTTCAAATTCAGTACTTTAGTTTTCTTGGTTTTGGAATTTGGTAAGATAATTTCCGTCTTATTCTCTTTACTTTCGTTATGCTATTGGTATTGTTCAGATGCATAAGTTCTGAAAAGATTTTCGTTAATTCCCTTAGTCAAAATAAAGACTTGCAAGGCTCTGTTTTAGTAAATTGATTGAGTCAAAAGATTCAGTTAAAGTTAAATCATCTTTTGAATATCCACTTGTTAATAGCTATTTCAATTTCTGTAAACATCATCAGTAAAATATCAATGCCCAATCATATATCTTTCGCTGGGGATTTTCTAGTAAAGCATGAACGCTAGGATATTCATCAATACCTATCTTTAGTTGAGTATAAAACAACCTTGGACAGCTTGATTCTTTTTAATACGAAGTATTGCTATTTCAAAAGGCGTTCAGTTTCCTGAATCTGAACTATCAATTTAATTCTCTTTCAAATTTCAGTATTTTACTCACACATGTACGCCTTGGATCAGCAGCACTACTTTTATAAAGAAAGCTTATTTCGGTTTTAATTTTCCTTAAGGGGTTATGTTGATTTGGGATTTGGTTGTTGCCCTGGTTGGTGCTTTTCAGCAGAAACTTGAAGTTTATTTATAGAGCTTTGGTTTAAACTGTAATGGATTTGATAGTAATATTATTGATTACCAATTAGTTTTATCCAGTTTGTCCATATTGAGAGAGAGCAAGTAAATAATCTCTCAGATGATTATATTCCAGTATGTAGTAGCGCTAAGCCTCCATAATGTAGTCATGCTTAATTACTAGCAGATTCTTATTTTGCTATTACATTTAATTAAAGATTTAAGAGGAGAGCTTATCGGAAGACGTTATCAAGGTGCCACACTTATTTGAGTATTTTCAGTTCAGCTGTTAACAGGTAAGTTCACTACCACCTGTACATGTTTGTTCAACCAAATGAAACAAAGAAGTCTGGTTGATTTTTAATAGATAATTTTAGACTATTTGCTATTATGTGAACTAGGTGAATTCTGTGATGAGTTATTTTATTTGTTGTATTAAGTTATGATTATTATCTGGCATAGTCAAGAGTTTGTTAGTACTTTTATTTTCAGGTTTGATGATGTTTTTTTTTAATCAAACGTCACTATAAAAGAACTAATACTTAAAGTGAAAGATTAAGTGATATGTACTCGGGAACAAGTTCCCACAGAGTTATCAGTTATCAGTTTCAGAGAGTCCGATATGTTTAGTGGGTCGCTCCCCTGAGCTGTCGGATTGGCGCCTTTGAGTACATATCACGGGCCCACAGAGTAAAATTAGCCACAAAGAGTATTACAGAAAGTTTAATGAGATCTCTTTCAGAAAGTTTTTACAGAAAGTTGTTTTTGAGATCTCTTTCAGAAAGTTTTTACAGAAAGTTGTTTTTGAGATCTCTTTCAGAAAGTTGTTTTTGAGATCTCTTTCAGAAAGTTTTACAGAGATGTTTTGAGAAGAAATTTTGAGATCTCTCCAGCAGTTTTGAGAAATTATTTTAGAAAATATTTTCTTTTGAGATCTCCCTCAGAATGTAATTGAGAAGTTATGTGTTAGTTATTTGTTCAGTGCATGCTTATAGCCTAAATTTATCTATTGATAAATTGGCATAGACTTCTAGATATTTTTGTGGGTCCATAGTGACTTACTAAGCGTAAAGCTTATCAGTTTTCTTTCTTCGCATGTACAGATACTAAGGGTAAGGCCAAGGCCTAGGAAGATGATGAGGGAGTGGAACGTGTGCCAAGATGAGTTGACGGGAACGACCTTGGCGGCTTCTAGCTAGATATTATTTAGTTTTCAGTATTTCAGTGTTATAATAAAGTGATAAATATTACTTTATTTTTATTTGAGGATTTGAAGTTCAGTAAATTCCTGGATCCAGGTGGTTATCACATTTGCTGGTGATAACTAGATTTTATTGAGTTTTATTTGGAGTTATATTTTTAGTTATATTTGAGATTTTATCAGGGTTATTCCTTAAACAACGGCCGTTATATTGCAATTATTTTTAAAAGTAGTAAGCTGATGTAACGTTTTCCTTTAACCCTGAGAGGGGCGTTACACTCACCAATCACGAACACAAAAACCAACATTCATAACCAAAATGCAAATTTGATTGAAGTTAAACTCTATATTAGTAAATACATTAAACATTACTAAATTCAACAAGAAAAATACCACAGTCAATCTGACTCCCAGCACAAATGCATCCACACAACCCTCTTGGTGCATCTAACATAACAAATTGTCCATGCAAACAGGCTAATCTAAACAAAAAAATACCTTCTTCGCACGGCAAAGCAGATTGTCAAAAAGTGTGTTCTTGAACTGAAGCCATTTGCACAATGGATGTTGGTCCCTATTCTAAACAATCATACAATCATAGAACAGTGAAAGAAGAAGCAGATAGATTCCCATTCATAACAATATATCGAGAACATTGGTATACCGTATGAAAATGGCCGCTGCTCTCCCTCTAGAGAGAGAGAGCAGCCTGAAACTTTTCTATGCTATTCTGCCTCTATAGTCTAATGCCTTCTCTTTTTTTTCCTCATAAGTTAGCTTCCTTTTATAGGAGAATGAGGCTAACTTATGGCTTACAAGAGACCTAATGGGCTGATATGGCTCTTGTGGCCCATTTACACATTTAACTAACAACTACACAAATACAAAGGCATGTAACTAGATTGGACACCAGAAAAAGTCCTAACAATCTCCCCCTTGGTGTTCAATCTTGTTTGATCAGCATTGCAGCGCGGATGTCTTTGTCTTTGTGTTCAGTTGCTCCTCAATGCAGCTCAGCTTCCTTTGTCTTTGCGCTCGGCTTCTTGAAAAGGTTTTTTGAAGAAATCCTTGCAATCTCCCCTTTGATGTCTTCATGGCAATTTGTTCTTTGATGCCGGGGAGTTGAAGAATCTTCAGGATGTAGCTTGTGATCTTTACCTCTCAGAAGTTGCTCTTGATCAGCATTAATGAATTCCGATGGCGCCTCTAGAACGAGTGTTCAGGTGATATACAGGCGCACACAGGATTCATCTTCAAAACTTGTATACTTGACCTTTGTCTCCTCAAAGTTTACGTGGCACAGCGGAAAATTATTGTTTTTGAAAAGATCTTATCGGTGGCACAGCGGAAAGATATGGTTAACTTTGAGCGTAGCTGACTGTTTGATTTGAAGCTGACTTGGCAGTCTTGATGATTTGAGAGAGTAGAGATCCGTCTTTTGATTTGTGTTGGAGGAGAGATGTGTCCAAGAATGATTTGTTGATAGTAAACAGCATGTAGACCATTCTCCCCCTCATGACGATCCGATGAATCGGGACGTCATGCTTTTATTCTTTTATTGTAATGTGCTCTTATATTAGTGATAAAATACTCAAGAAAAGCAGATGTTTTTTATTTTGACTGCAAGTTGGTCTTTTGTTTAATTGTTTTTGTGCTAAGAGAAGAGTGAGTTTGATATCGGATGCCTTAACTAGAAAACAGAATTTTAGCTGGCTGTCAGATTTTCAGCTGACTGTCGAAATCTGTGTTTTCAGTTGGTTTCCTAAACAATGAATACCGGTTAATACTTTTGTGTACCTTTTCTTTTTTTATTCTTTTGTTTTTATTTTATGATACGTTTCTTCTCTTATTAGTACTCTTTGCTTTTCTTGAGTATTTTATCACTAATATAAGAGCACATTACAATAAACAAAGTAGAACAGAGTAAGTGATACTAGTCTAATATAGGGATAAATAAAAATGGGTGGCATCATCAAAACTATTACATCTTAATCATCCAAATCTAGGGGACCTAAAACTTTCCTTTCCTTTCAGAGCAGTAGTATCTCGAGTGATATCAACAGAACCCAACATTCATCTTTTGACATTCATAAGTACCAATTGATAATATCTGAGGCTGATGAATACCAAATGATAATTAATGAAATTATCAGATTATTGTTATGTTCTTTCTGCTTGATTTCTCCCTTTATATCATTGAATCTCTTCTGAACCTTTTAATCCCAGTATCAAATGAGCAGGATGACCATAGGATAAGGGTTGGTCATATACTTAGTTTGTCCATGTATGGATTTTTCTGTGAAGAATATGGACAGTAGCAAGTATATTTTCCTACTTTGTGCAGTGGTTGCCTTCTCAAATAGATGTTATCAACCGGATCTTTTGGGATATTAGTAAGGAAGGTTCTTTGGTATGAGAGTAAGGATAATGTGGATTATGTAGTGATGTTGGAACACATAGTTGGTTACTGATCTATTGATGTATATGTGTGGATAATGGATAGATCAGTAAGTGTTTTTTTTCCTGGAGGTTAGGGAGAGTGAATGTAAAACCATATTCAATATCTTCCAGTTTTATGATCTTCATTAGCAATGAGCTAAATGAGATTTCTCAGTTTTATTCCTTCATAAGATTAACATCAATCAACAGTTCATCCTCTTAGTAATGTTACTATTTGGATTTACTTAAGTATAAGATTTTTCAGTTTGAGAAAGGAATAAAATTATCTGAATGTTCTTTTGAGTGAAACACAGATGGGATAAATGTTTGAATACTCAAGATAAACTGAGTATGTACCTGGAGAAGTGTTTGAATATACATCTTCATGATCATCTTTCTTTGCTGGAGTTGGCAAGATGAGTGATGTCATGAGAGTATGTTTGACTTCTTCTTTATGTTTGCATGAAAGTCCCTTGATTTGGCTTTGTGAATCAGGAGTTTGATAAATAGCTTGTTGTCTCCTTGCTGGTTTCTTTTCCTTCAGAGTAATTATACTTCATGATATTTTCCATCTCAACTGTCTATAAGTGTTTAGGGAAATTGGTGGTTGATCTTTTGTTCAAACTAAGCCGGTTAAGAAACTGACTCTATGAACAACGACTCTGATACCAATTGATGGGTCCCAAGTGAGGTAAAAGTCTAGGAGGGGGGGGGGGGTGAATTGACTTTTAAATCTTTTCATTTTCAACCCTTTTTTCTCTAACAGAATGAGTTCTAATATCTTTTGGGAGATATTGAAACATACAGAGGAAGTCTTGACCTTAAGAGTGTGACAATTTATAGAAACAAAGGTTATGACCCTTTTAGTTGTGAGAGAGATGGGTTAAACAGGATGCAATTGTGTTTGCCAAGATCAGCTCGCTCAAGGAGTAGGCTGTTGAATCCTTAAGAGTTAGACTGCCAGATTTCTGGGAGCTGGCTGTTGAACCTCTAGGAGCAGGCTACTGATTTCGTTGTTTTATCAATGTTTGAGGCATAGAGAAGAACTATGACCTTGAACATTGTTTTGGCTGTTTAGGATAGAGAAAACACACAGGTATGAAGGATTTAGACCTATTGAAATAGATCACTTTGATGAGCAGAAACAAGGAGTTGATTCACAGTGACCTTAGAGGTTCACTGGACAGTTTTAATGAGCAAGCTGTTTTGTTGTGAAGTTGTGAAGGTGAGTGAGAACTAAAGTGTTTGTTGGGAGCAGAATATAAAAGGTGACACAAGATATATCCTAGTTCAAAGGTGGTGTAATTCTCCTACATCCAGTCCCAACCTATTGCAGATGGATTTCCTCTAAATGATTTTTTTTTAATAAATCAAAATAGAATTTTATTAAATGAAGAAAGCAGTACAAAACGAGAAAGGGAAATAGTACATAAATAAATGAAACATAAATAACTAATCCCAAGGAAAATCTCTAGACCGCGACCTCGTCTTCATGCTATGGCGTTTTTTGTTCTTCTGAGATTTTCTGTAAATCTTGAGTTGAGTGTTCAAATTATCTGTTGGCGGATAATTTTCCGAGGTTACAAAATCTGCTTTGTGACAGATTGCACTGTTGAATTTCGATTTTCTAATTTCTTCGGGGTATGAAATAGGAGGATGACGATCACTTTCGGTTGCATTTCCCAGAATATCGTCTGTGAAGAAAAAGCCATCCGAATGCTCAAAACTGTCAGAGGCGTCCAAGTAAGCTTGGATCGATGTCAACTGGGGTTGTTTTCCGGCAGATAAGCCATGTTGGCTCTCAGTGCATGCCTCCTCAATTTGAAAATTTAAGATCAGTTTGGATATGGATGTAGGGTCCTCGGATTGAATTGTGCTCCTCAGTTGAAAGGAAATTGATTCATCCTGCACAGGCTTTGGAATCCCTGCAAAATTAGAGAAAATATTGAGAAATTTCAACAGGCTCGATTTATGAGGTCCCATGGGAATCTGAATGGAGCTCCCCTTGTGTTTGGCAATTTCCACTAAATGAATATCCATTACATTTAGAACCCAATCTACCCTTGGCTCAGACGTAGATTGTGAGGTTTTTTACAAGGAATTTCAACACCATTCCAAGCTACTTAGTCCTCCCGAGGTTTTTCACTAATGACATTGACTTGCCAAGAGTTACTCATGTTCTTGCCCCTTTCTCACCTTCTGGATTTGAACACAAAGCCCAACAAAATGTCTAACACTAGTCTAATTTACATGGGTGTAAATCTAAACTACTAACTAATCTAAGCTCTATAGGTTTGTATGAATTGTAGCTAACCTAAGAGCATGAGATGAGTGGGGTGGTAGCCGAAGTAGTGAAGGAGAATAGCTGGCTGGATGTGAGCTTGTAAAACTTGATTCCCTTCTATTCCACTTGGCTCCTCTCAGTTTAAAACACTTGATCTTCCCACACTCCTTCTGTATTTATAGACTGATCATTGAATCTCCACCGTTGGCTGAGAATATTAATCTTGACCGGAGCTTGATCTACTTGCATTGTTCCACTTGACTGAGGAGAGCATGGTTGGTCTTTGTCTTCTTGTGACACGGATTAATATCTTCACTTCAACTTGATTCCTCATTTCAATGCAGAGATAAAGATGATTTATCTTTATATCTTTTGTGAATAGGAACTTAGTATAAAAGATGAGTGATGTTTCAATGCTTCCTTACAAATAACAAATACTTGCTTTTAGTAAAATAAATTCATAAGAAATTTATAATGTGATAAAAATTTCTTAT